TGTCACTTGGGCAAGCCACTTCTTCTTTTCAAGCCTCAGATCCTCATCTGTAAAATGAGATTGGGTAACCCCTATGGTAAGGAGCCCTGGTGGCACAGTAGTTATGTGCTCAGCTGCTAACCAAAAGGTCGGCTGTTCGAGCCCACTAGCTGCTCTAGGGGAGAAAGATATGGCAATCTGCTTCCATAGAGATTACAACCTTGGAAACCCTATGAGGTAGTTGTACTCTGCCCTATAAGGTCACTACGAGTTGGGATTGACTCAGTGGCAATGGGTAACCTCTATGGTGCCTACCTCCCAATGAAGGCAGAGTGACAGTGCACTTAAAACAGCTTACGCCCCTCAGGCCAGGAAGGGATTCTTGAGTGAGACACAGTGATTATGACAGGGCTGTGCGCAAATTCGGTGACCTAGGGTGAAGGTCAGTGCATCTAGCCCTGAGTTGAGAGATAGGGGAGTTCAGTGCAGACATGCTGTAAAGCTTCCTGTAAGAGATGAGATGGGAGCAGACCCTCAAAGGGTAGAGAAGAGGAGTGAATTGGTAGAGAGGAGGAGAGTAGGCATCCCAGGCAGGCAGGGAAGACCCAAGGAGTCTTGATTGTAGGGGAGGGGGAGGGGGAGGGGAACCTGAAAGGTTTTTTGTTTTTTTTTTTTTGTGTGTGTGTGTGTGTGTGTGTGTGTGTGTCCAGGCGTTTGTGAAGTGCAGCCCCAAAAGCCAGGTTCACGTGGTTGGCAGTAGGGAGGGAGCCATTGCAGGCTCTATTCCTAAACAGGCAAGCAAGACGTGGGCCTGCAAATGTAGGCACCTTCGGAATATGGGAAGAGTGTTTAATTCAGGGCTTCGAACTGGTTCAGTCATGGCCGACAAAGCAAAACCAGAACAGACCCGAATTTTTACAATTTGAGTGATCTGAAATGGGGAAAATTACAGGTCAAAACCCTGGAATGGGAGTCTCAGAAGAGGCATAGTGAGGCCTTTCAGGAGCCTGGTACTTGAGACTGAACTATTGGCAGGACTGTGGAAAGAGACACACTCTTTGAGCGGGGCACTGTTGTTAACCAGCTGTGCTCAAAATCCCAAGGGCAGGAGATTTGGTTGCTATGCACTGTGTACGCTGGGCTTGTTTTCTAAGAGGGAGATTAGGTTTGTAGCAGGGCTTTGACCTGTAATTATTCCCGTTCTGGTTATTGTTCCAGTGCACCCAAATTGGAAATTCGAGTCTGTTCCTCTGCCATGACTGAACTAGGAAGAACCAGTTGGAAGCCCTGGTTTAATCGCTTTTACCTGGTGGGGCAAATAAAAAGTTGGAAAGGACATAGGAAGTGAATGGAGAGTTGATGAGGCAGAAGGCTTCCCCCTATACCATTTGTTCTCATGCACACGTAGTTTTAACTGTGACGGATAAAGTTTGGCATTCATCCTAGGTAGCATCTGTGGCACTGGATCCCATGTTGCTTAGAGATCTGCAAACAGCCCATTGGATACCATCTTCAGTCACTGTATTGCTGGTGGTACATCCACAATGATACTGGTTGTTGCTAGTCTAAACAATGCTGTGATAAGCATTTCTGTTCCCTAAAGTTCCTTCTGGATTGTTTCCATTGGACAGCTTTCCTGGAGGGGCATTTCTGACTCTTAAGTGAACACAAGTCTTTATGGCTTAAAAGTCTTAAAACCAACTCCATTACAGTAGTTTTCTTTAAAAATATCAGTAGGTTATACTGTATAGAGTTTCAAAAAAAAAAAAAAAGAGCAAATGTACAAAAGCATATACAATAAAAATCTATCCTCCTAACCCAGTTTTCCCTTCCAGTTCTCCCCCGGGGTAACTGTTAACCAGTATCCTGTGTACCCTTCCAGAAATATTCTATGTCGACGTTGTATATATCGTTTAAAAAAAAAAAAGTTTGATACCTACTGTTACACCATTAGCATCTTGTATTCAATTTTTACTTTTTAAATTTGGGGTTATGAAATATATCAAAGAAGTACAGAAAATGAGGAGCCCTGGTGGCACTGTAGTTAAGAGCTCTGGCTGCTAACCAAAAGGTCAGCAGTTCAAATCCACCAGCCAGCTCCTTGGATACCCTATGGGGCAGTTATGCTGTGTCCTATAGGGTTCTGTGAGTCAGAATCGACTTAACAGCGGCGGGTTTTTAAGAAAATGACACCCCCTCCCCGGTAGCCCACTACAGAGGTTTAACAAATGTTAGCATGTTGTGGTGGCGCCTTGTTTAGGGCTCTCTTGGAGGTAGCCCCATGTCATGCCGCTCCAGCTGCCTCTTTGTGGTGGCTGCAGAGATGTCCGGTTATTATATGAATGCATCGTTCTTTACCGGTCTGTCCCCAGCTCTTGGATTTTTAGGATGTTACTAATTTTTTGCGTATATAATCAATGTAGAGGTAATACACCACCTTGTATAATATCTGCTCGGGGAAGCATGGAGGCACAGGGAAACTAGCCTTGGCTTCAAATCTCTCCTCGGCCACACTTTGACCTGGGACGAAGGACGTCCGTCTTGGTGTTCACGTTCCCCATCTGTAAAATGGGCTCCCTCTCAGCTGCTAGGAAGAGTACAGTAGGAAACTAAGGCTGTATAAAGGCTTCACGGGGCTTAGTTCCTCAATCCCCCGGGCAGGGAACTCTCTCAGGGGAAGGCAGCCTTAAGGAACTGGAGCGCCCCGCGACCGCAGCTTAACCTCCAGCTACAGACTTGTTCCCCGCCCCTCTCCTCGGCCACGCTGGGGGCGGGGCGGTTAAATGTCCTTGTGTCGTCAGCGCGCGCAGGACCAATCCCCCTGCCCGGCAAACGTTAGCTCGTTTGCATTCGTCGCCCGCCATTGGTCCGTTGGGTAATCCAGGCCGTCCCAGCTTTTTAAAGCCGCCGCGAAGTATAAACAAGGAGATGTGGGGCGGCTGGGCCATGATGTCATCGCGGCGCAGGAGCTCTTGGGGTTGACGTCATCTCCGGGAAGGTGGCCGGCCCGGGGCTGTTAGGTACATCCTAACAACTCGGCCGGCTTAAGAAGCCGCCCTGCCCCGTCGGTGGTCCCTTTGCACTTCAGTGTCCCAGGTGGCGCTCCGTCCCCGAGGAGAAGACCATGACACAGTAAGTCCGGACTGCGGATCTCCCGGCGGGACTCATTTCTCAGGCAGGGAAACTGAGGCTCAGAGGCGAAGTGGTTCGCGAGTTTGCATAGTATGTTCGAGTTGCAGCCGATCGGTCTTGCCTACCCCGGAGTTGCCCCATCTTTAGGCCAGGCCATGTGGCCCCGCCCCTTGCCTCTGAATACCGCTGCGGTAACTTTAAGTGCGAAGGTGGGGGCGAGAAGGAGGTTTTTAAAAAAAAAAAAAAAAAATCCGTCTTTCAAGATGGCGGCCCACCGGTCACGTGCCTGGTTGCGGCGAGTGATTGGCTCTTGGGGCCCTCGCGGGGCGGAGCTCTTGGCTTGGGGCGGGGCCCCGGCGGGCTCGCTGCCGGCTACTGTTTGCCGGAGCCTCCCAGCGCGCCCCCGCGAGCCCCCCTCCCACCTGGCGCGCGACCCCGCCGCTCCGAATGTTGTGAATCAAATGTGAGGTTTGTTACATTCCGCTGCCGCCGCGGACAGTTCTTAAAGGGCCAGCCGCCGGCAGCCGCGCAAACCCGCCTGCGTCCTGTACTGCCTCCCCCTCCCGCTTCCCGAGAGCCCGGGCCGAGAGAGGCGGACAGCGCGTGGGCCTTGCGAAGCAGACGCGGTCGGGCGGACAACAAAGAGAGAGAGCCCCGGAAGGAGCTGGGCTGCCCCCGGACCAGGGGGTGGGGAGGGGAACACATTGTTCCGCAGGGCGGGGGCTCTTAAAGGGTCCAGACAGTTCCCCCCCCTCCCGCCCCCCTGCCCAGTTTGGCCGTCCTAGAACGGAAACAAAGGAGCCAACGTGTGGCCGGGCGGCCGAAGGTGAGTCGGGGCCAGGAACCCCAACTCCCGCACCCCTGGGATTCCTGTTCCCCTCCCCTGGGACTGGGGGCCGTGATCTAGCTGGCTTCGCAGGGGTTAATCACTGGCAGCTCGGGCGGGGATGGCGAGACCCCCGGGATCAGGGACCCCCCAGCGACCCCCAAGGCCTGGCTGGATCTCCCCTCTGGAGGCTGAGCGCTGCGGTTGGAGGGGAAGGAGCCGCCCCCTCCCCCGCTGCCGCCACTTCCTTTGTTGTTGCTTTTGTCTCACGCCGAGCACATGGTCCGGGATCCTCGGCTCTTAAAGACACAGCGCTCCGGCCCCGGCGCCGCAGTCTGGCCCCCCGCCCCACTGTGTCCCTCCGAGCGCGGCACAGAGGCGTTCAGGGAGCGAGGAGGCACCTCTCGGGCCCCCAGCCCCATCTCTGGGGGCAGGGTGGACTGGGGAAGGTCCCCGGAGCCCCACAACCAACGCCTGGCCCTCGTTGGGAGGGGCCTGGCCCACAGGGACGTGGGTTTCCGCCTCTATTAATATGACCACCTGGTTTCTTTGATAATAGCCTCTTCTGGCTTTATGTAGGCACTCTGGGGAAGAAAGATTTCTACCCCCATTTTACAGTTGGGGGAACTGAGGTTCACAGAAGCAAGGGGTTTCCTTGCCCAAGGTCACCCAGGAGTCAGGGTTGCCCAAGGACTCCTAGCTCCGAGCCCAGTGGTCCAGCCCTCAGCCGCCTCCAGGGACCACACGTTGGGGAATTCCGCTTACCCACCCGGCAGAGCTGAACTGAGCCTTCCTCCCAGGTCCCCAGGAGTTTCTTATCCTGCCAGAGTCTACTCAAGCTCCCAGGGTCTGACTTTGCTCATCTGCAGGAGAGGGTACCTGTTCCTGCAAACAGCTCCCAGGCTTAAATGACATGGGCAGGGGTACCTTAAACCAGGGTGGGAATAGCAGCTTGGGGTAGAAGTGGGAGTTGGCAGCCTGGGGGCGGGGATGCAAGGTGCAGCGGCTGCCTCCAGGAAATTGGATGTAGAACCTATAGCCTGTGAGGTCGCATTTGCACAGACCTCATTGAGAGCACAGCACAGAAGGGGTTGGAAAGGCAGAGCAGTTAGGACCACCCTTGCTGTTTGACCTTGAGCAAGTTGCTCACTCTCCCCTGGATCCCACTTTTCTCCACAGTGGGACTAATCACAGGTACTGAAAGAGAATGCTCTCTCAACCTCGTTTATGGTCTGGAATACAGAATTGGGATAAGGAAGTTTTTTCCTTGGGCCACCGATTGCCAGTGAGAGTGGCGGATTGGGGGAGTTTGAGCCTGGGTGGCCAGGATACCTGTGTTCCTTGCCTGGTTTTGTCCCTCTCTGGCTTTGTGGCCTAGGGCAGGTTACTTTCTTTCTCTGGGCCTCAGTTTGCTCAACTGTGAAGTGGGTGTGTTCCCTCTGAGCCACTCTGTTCCTGATGGGGCTTAAAGTACCCAGGACTTCTCCCCACCCTGCCTGGGTATTCCCCTAGAGCAGCCTGTTTCCCTGCTGCCTCCTGCAGAGCTTGCGGTGGCACCTACTTGTGCTTGGGGACTGGGGGGCCCGACATACCTTATTTTCTAATAATGATCACTCTCACCCAAACTGAGTTCAAAGTTTACAAATCACTACTGTCGTTGCTTTCGAGCAGTCTTCTTGTTGCACTGGGAGGTGGTTATTGGGCTCTTCCCATTTCACAGATGAAGAAGCTGAGGCTCAGAGAAGGGAAGCGATGTACCCAAGGTCTTCAGCCAAGAGTCTGGCCAAAAGTTGTGGGATGTCATGTGTGAGAAAGGGAGGGTTGGCAGTCACCTTTAGCACCGTCGTCTACAGCCGGAGGTCCTTTCTGGCTGCTAGTTTGGTTTCTGAGCTCCTTGCCCTCTTCCGTTCCCTGAGGAGTGGGTACCTTGGAAGGGGGCTGGCCACAGAGGAGATTCCCACAGGCCTGGGCCTCTGAGGGCCCCACATGCCTGAGCCTGCCATCAGCAAAGAAGCCTGGTACAAGAGAAGCACTAGAGACCCCCATCTTGGCTGATCACGAGCGGCCCAGTCAGACTGCCTGGGTTGCATCCCCACCTCACTCAACAACCCTAGCTAACTGGCCTGGGACCACACCCCTCTGAGCCTCAGTTTCCCTCCTTCCGAGGGTTGCTATGAGGACTAGTGGAGATGGTGCATGTAAAGCAGATGGCACGTAGGAATTGTTGTAGTTTTTGTTGTAAATACTGCTTTTTGGCAGAACGGGGGAACCCCTGGATCTCTGGGGTCAGCTAGAGCAGAGGATCCCAAACGTGGCCGTGCTGGAGAACTTGCCAGGGCATTTGTTAAACATCTAGAGGCTCTTCCCTCCAAAGATTCTGATTGCGAAGATCTGGGGTGGGTCCTGGGAATCTGTTTTTTTCTGCTATTTCTGCTATAAACTAACCAGTTTCCTCTGGTTTCCCTTGGACTTTGTTTGCTTGGTTGGGTCCAGGTGTGCACACGTGTGTACTGGTATATGCACTTGGCCCATGCCAGGGTCACAAACCTGTGGTGGGCAGGCAAGGAATGGCCTCTTACCACCATGGGTGGCCAGGAGATAACACTCATGTCCCAAGTAAAGGGGGCAGCTGAGGGGGCTGAGTAGAAATGAGGGCTAAATGGGGCCAGATTTCCCACTTTCTTCCCCCATGCTCGAGGCCAGACTTTTATGTCATCTTCCAAGTTTTGATCGTTGGGACTAATTTCATTGCCACCAGGCTGGGGCCCTATGTAGTCAGCCCACCCCAGGCGGCTCGCTGGGCCCTGTTGCACCTCCTCCAGGACTCGAGCACCGCAAAGTGGAGACAAGAGGCCTCGCAGGCTCATTCTGAGAGTTGGGGCTCCTGCTTGTGACCCCGGCACAGAGGAGACGGTCCTCACCGCCATCAGCAGGAAGAACGAGGCACTGAGGGGACAGTATCAAAGATGCCTAGGAGTTTGGTTAGCTGGGGAAGGGGTGGAGGGGCCTCCCTGTGGCAGCAACAGCTGGTCCTGTTTGATGCACCCTTCAACTTCATACAGGGCCTGACAGGTTCCGGAGCCTTCCCCTGCCAGTGCCTCATCCCAACCTCAGCAAGCCTCAGAAGTCTCAGGTTGAGCCAGGGCCCCCAACTTCCCCCATGAACCCCCAGCTCCGACCCAGGGAAGAGACCTTGCCCTCCCAGCCCCATCCCCACTCAGCTTACTCGCTTAGGTTCTTACTATTTTTTCTCAACAAGCCCCACCTCCCACTTTGAGGGCTGTGTTGGAGCAAAGGCTTGGCTGTGTGCCAGACCCCTAGTCCACCAGTACCAGCCTCCTTGGTCACCCCCATCACAGAGCCCTCAGGCTCTCCCCACCACTACCACCTGCAGCAGGGTGTGGGGAAGGCCTTGGTGTCAGTTCCCCTACTGTGGGGCCCTGGGCAAGTCCCTTCCGTTCTCTGAGCTTCAGTTTTCTCCTCTGTAAAATGGAGCCAGCGATACCTTCCCTTAAAGATAGATAGAGTTGTAGTTGGATAGGTGCTTTGGGATCAGTTAAGGAAAGGAAGAATACAGTCCTGCTTGGACTGGGATTCTGGGGGCTGGAATCCCTTCTGAGTCAATCAGTGGAAGAGAGGAAACCTGAGTCCCCTGGAACTACCGCCCTCCTGGAGGCCACCCCCTACAAGGACAGGGTGCCCTAAGACCCCACCAGAAGAAGGCTTCCCGGAGCCCAGTGGCCTAGCCATGTGCCACCCAGTTCTCTGAATGTGCCACAACTGAGGGGAGGACTTGATCCCAGTACACAGATCAGGAAGCCGAGGCCTGGGGTCTCTACCACCCTGGCCAGTGTGCTTGCTGGTGAGCCTGCCCCTGGTTTGTCTGCACTGAGTCACCCCAGTGTCCAGAAGGGGCCAGGCCCAAGTCCGTGGGACCACAGGAGCATGGGAGCATCACAGCCCCTGGAATCAGACTGCAGAGATTTGAGTATCTCCCGACCTCTAATGGGGCTGGCAGCTGGGCCTCTTTGTGCCTCAGTTTCTTCGTCTGTTGCCTCCTAGGGGTGTGAGCCCCAGCCCAGTCCCTCCACCGCCTGCCACCCCTGATGCGACCATGGGCAGTGACAGTGACTAGGTGGCCCTCCTCTGCACCTGTGGGTCAGTGGCGATTCTCAGCAGGGCCCAGCAGCACTCCAGGCCAGCTCTGGCACAGGTAGGAAGGAGCCTCCCTGCTGGGGAGCCCCGGTGCTGGGGCCACCAGTTTGGGCAGGGCCATGAGGGACAGGGATGAGCCCTTTCTGCCAGGTGGGGTGGGATCCCAGCTGCTCTGCCCACTCTGTGAATGAGCGGCCCCCCTCAGGCCTACTGGGGCCTCCTCTCTGTGGTGCAGCCCCGGCCGCGAGGGCCCCCTGGCCAGCCCACCTGCCCAGGATGAGCGCTTACCCTCCCAGCAGCCACCACCCAGACCGCCTCACCTCCCTGTAGAGGAGCGCCGAGCCTCGGCTCCTGCCGGCGGGAGCCCCCGAATGCTGCACCCGGCCACCCAGCAGAGCCCGTTCATGGTTGATCTCCACGACCAGGTAGGCAGGTTGCACCCCACCTCCTACCCCTCCCCCAGCCTTAACAAGCCCATCTAGAAGCAGGGATACCAAAGCCCCTATTTCATTTACCCTGCTTCTCTTCACTGCATGCTCGAGGAAAGTATTGTTAGCTCTATTTTACAGGTAGGTAGACTGAGGCCTAGAGAAGGAAAGGGCCTTCCTTGTGTGGATGACTGGCAGAGCTGGAAGCCCCTCTCAGATACCCAGAGGTCTCTTCCCCAGGGGGCCTAGGGCAGGGGGCAGCCAGGTCTGCACCTAGGTAGACACCCAGCTGGAGAAAGGAAGGGAGCTAGAGCTGGGCCTGGCAGGACTTTTTCTCTTGGGTGACCCTTGTGGCCAGAACCGCCTACAGTTCCCTGGGCCTTGTTTACCCTGCAGGTGCACCAGGGACCCGTCCCTCTGTCCTACACAGTCACCACTGTGACAACCCAAGGCTTCCCCTTGCCTGCGGGGCAGCACATCCCTGGCTGCAGTGCTCAGCAGCTCCCAGCATGCTCCGTGATGTTCAGTGGACAGCACTACCCCCTCTGCTGCCTCCCACCCCCAGTGAGTGTGCCGCCTTCACTCCCCACCCGAGTCCCAGTGGAAGCCCCTGCTCTGGCTGGCAGCTCTCTGCTCCAGCTGGACAACTCAGAGCTGGCTCAGGGCCAGGCAGCCTGACCTAGCTCCTGGCCCCGTCTAGGCTGGCAAGCGGTGCCTAGCCTCCAGGCCAGGGCCCTCGCCAGAGGTGAGACACTCCAGGGGGTGGAGGTGCAGGGTGTGTGTGCAGGGGGGACCTCATGCAGATGGAGTAGACCCCCGCCTGAGTGCAGGGGAGCACTGTCCAGCCCCACCCTCTCCTGCAGCTGATCCAGGCATGTACCATGCAGCAGCTCCCGGTGCCCTACCAGGCCTACCCGCACCTCATCTCCAGCGACCACTATATCCTGCACCCCCCGCCACCGGCCCCACCCCCCCAGCCCACCCACATGGCACCCCTTGGGCAGTTCGTGTCACTGCAGACCCAGCACCCGAGAATGGTGAGTCTGGGGTGGGTCTGAAGCTAGGTCGGGGGTGGGGTGGGATGGGATTTCCCTTGGCCTGCCTGCCGCTGACCCTAGCCCACCTCCCCCAGCCCTTGCAACGGCTTGACAGCGACGTAGACCTGCGGGGGGACCAGCACCCCCTGGGGAGCTTCACCTACTCCACCTCGGCCCCTGGCCCCACTCTCTCCCCATCTGTGCCCCTGCACTACCTGCCCCACGAGCCGCTGCCCCAGGAGCTGCCCTTTGGCATGGTAAGTGCTGGCCCCCCACCCCAGGCAGCCGGGGTGATCTATGGTGGTGCGGGTGTGGGCCACTGGGCTGACCTGCCCCTGGCCCACCTCTCACAGCCATATTCCCACGTGATGCCGCGGAGACTGAACACCCAGAGATACCGTCTGCAACAGCCGCTGCCACCGCCACCCCCACCACCACCCCCACCACCTTATTATCCCAGTTTCTTGCCCTACTTCCTGTAAGTACCAGCAGCTCTGCCCCAGAGCTCTGCTCTGCTTTGTTCTCCTGGGGCTTTCAGGGCTGGACACAGACAAACCCCATGTGCTCCCCATGTGGATTGGGCAGAGCTCTAGGCTTTGTCTGCATGGAGAGAGCGGCTCTGTGCCTCCTGTCCCCCAGCCTTGGCCCTGAGCTCTCATGCCTGTCTCCCTCTAGCTCGATGCTGCCAATGTCACCCACTGCAATGGGACCCACCATCAGCCTGGATCTTGATGTGGATGATGTGGAGATGGAGAACTATGAGGTCTGGTGGAGCCCGCTCCCGGGGGGTCTGGAAGAGCTCCAGCCCCAGAGCTACTAACCCTCCCTCCCCTCCATACAGGCCCTTCTGAACCTGGCGGAGCGGCTGGGCGATGCCAAGCCCCGCGGCCTCACCAAAGCCGACATTGAGCAGCTCCCGTCCTACCGTTTCAACCCCGACAGCCATCAGTCAGAGCAGACGCTGTGAGTACCACCCTGTCTTCCTGCCCCGTGACCGCTCGGAGGGCAAGGGGCTGCCCCGGCATGGGGCGCGTGTGCAGTGGGCCTTCACTGGGCCATCAGGATGGACCTGGATGGCTCTCGGCCTCCCCCTAGGTGTGTCATCTGCTTCAGCGACTTCGAGGCACGGCAGCTGCTCCGGGTTCTCCCCTGCAACCATGAGTTCCACACCAAGTGCGTCGACAAGTGGTTGAAGGTAATGCAGCCAGAGCCTGCTCCCAGGGGCTCTTGAGTGGTGAGACAGGAGGGTGGGCCTTGAGGGTCTCCCTCCTCATCTTTATCATCCAAAAGTTGTGGCTCCATTCAGGGGTCCCAGGGTCCCCCGCAGTCAGGTGGGTATGAACAGAAACAGGGAGGGGTACAGAGGGCAGATGAAAAGGGAGCCTGATGTACGGTTGCTCTTCCCCCAGGCCAACCGGACGTGCCCCATTTGCCGGGCCGATGCCTCCGAGGTGCCTAGGGAGGCTGAGTGAGGCCCCACAGCAGTCCAGGAGAGCCCTGCCCGAAGCTCTGGAAACTCTGGGGGCAGGACCCCAGGAGGATGGGAGGGAGTTCCCAAGCCTGCCCCGCCATCTCCGCCTGCCTCTCCAGAGCTGGTGCCAGGGTCAGCCCCGTGAGACCCCCTGCAATAAGCCCCTGCATTTGCCAAGCTCCAAAGACTCCTTCCCCGGTCTGCCTGCCTGTCTGCCCACCACGGAGCCGCCCGAGTGCCCTAACTCAGCCTCCCTTCTGTTTGCCCTCAGGCCTGTCTCCTCTTCGTTGTTGGCACTGGGAGCCAGGGTCCCTTCCCCTAGTGCAGCTAGTGGAGACCCCGGGCCCCAGGATGGGCAGAGGGGCCCCCTCCTGGGTCACCTGGTCTCTTGCACTGAAGTGGCGTGCCCTCTGCCCAGGTGGCGCTTGCAGGCGCTCGAGCATGAGGCCATTTTCTGAGCCGCAGGCTGGGTCTTCCCACCTTGATCTCAGACTCAGGCAGTCAGCCCGCCCAGGCTGCTGTACAGGGTGGGTTTGGCTCTGAGGGAACCCTCACTCTGGGCACAATAGTCCAGCCCCACCCCCAGGCTGGAGGGCACAGAGCCCACCTGCCCAGGAGGCAGGAGACAGGCCCTGAGCAGGCAGCAGGCATCCTGAGAGGGGTTGGGGTCACACCAGCGAGTGACCCCTGTGCTCCTGGTAGCTATCCCATGTGCCAGGGTCCGGGCCTGACCCCTGCCCGATCCCCCTCTCTGTCGTTTGGCATGAATGTGAGGAACAGCAGTTTTCTCATTTATTCATTTGGCCCAAAATTGCGTGTAGGATTTGGAGGTGTGGATTTTAAAAACTTTTTTCTTTTTTTTGGTTTAATGGGGGCTATAGGAACCACCCAGGACCGAGTGCCCCCAGGCAGGGATGCCCGCAGGCTCCGCCTGGCCTGCGTGCATGCAAGCGGCTGGGGCTGGGGCTGGGGCTGGACTGGGCAGGCGGGGGTCTGTGCTCAGCTGATAACTGCCATGCACTGTACTGCACACGTCCCTAGAGCCGACCGGGACAGTCTGCTTTTCAGGGCATTTCCCCCTCCAGCCAGAGCCCGCCTCCCACCTGCCTGGGCAAGTCTCTAGGGATGTCCCCGGACGACAGGGACCAGGGAGGGCATGGCCTCCCCTCCAGAGCGCCCTTTCTAGCCTGGGTCCTGCCCTGCAAGGCCTGGAGGGGACCCCTGTAGGGTCTGGCTGAGCTTCCCCCACTCCCCGGTCCCCTGTCCTCCCTTACCCCCAGCTGGGGTTGCTGCCCCGAACGAACCGCATATGGGGAACGAACGAACTGCGTGTGGGGCCGGCACATCCTAGCAGGCAGCCCCTGGCGCCTGCTGCCTCAGGGATGCTCCAACCACCCTCGTTCTCCCCGCAGCTGCCCTGGCCCCCCTACCCCCACCCAGCCTGCCACGGGGCACCATCAGCCTGGCCCCACCCCCAAGGAAAACCCAAAGTCTTACTGTATATAACTCCAGGTGATGTTTCTATATTTATAGCAGTGTTGAAAACCCACGTGTTTTACACAGAGAACCACCCGCTCCAAACCCCCTCCCTTCCCCACCCCAACAAAAGGTTTGCAAAACCCTTACAGTTCCTGGGGCAGGCGGAAACAGGCTCACGGAGTGTGTGTTGGCTGCAGCCATGATGCCAACGAGCAGCTACTGGGGGGAAAACACAGCATAAAAAAAAAAAAATCATTAAAAAAATTTATAAAACAATTATTTAGGATGTTTGTGATTTGCCGACCTTGCTATAGATGCCATGTTACCAATGATTTCCTGTGGTGGGGGCTTGTCATTGTTTACTCTTTGATTTACCAACTTCTGGCCTAGGCATGACCGTGGGCACCATCCCCCAGCCCTGGCTGGGTCCAGCGCCTGTGTTCTGTGTTAGAAAGGTTTTATATCTATATATATATATAATTACATGTGTATATATATATAAATATATGTAATTTGGGGGGCCCTGTTCCTTGCACATTTTACAGTTACCTCATTTTTCCCATGTATGTATTTGAGAAAATGCTAATATATAGAGAAAAAAAAATGGTTCTTAAAGCTTAAATGTGTGTTTTTTTCCATTCCATTGGATTCACATTGGTTTGTAGCATTTAACATAACTAGTATGTTGTATTATATATATGTGTATACTGATTGAAATTTTTAACAGATTTGTACTTTTTTTAAAATGAAAGTTGCTAGTTCTGCTTGACCAAGTAGTGCAATCATTATTTTTTTTAATATTGTTGCTGATTTCAGAGGGATATTCACTAATAAATGTATGACATATACTGAGTACTGCCAATGCTGTCTTTGGCTGCGTATGTTCTTTTGGCGGGAAGTTCAGGGAGGGGTGGGGATGAGGTAGGCAGGAAAGATCGATCTTGGCTGTGGAAGCTTGTGGGAGTCAGTAACCCTTGCTCAAGAGGGGTCTGTTTGGCCAGTTCAGTGATTACTTTTTCTGGGCTGTCTGCTTCACACACGAATTAGGGTGGGATTCTGTTCTCACCTTCCATGCAGGAGACCCAGGTTTGATTCCTGGCCAGTGCACTTCATGTGTAGTAACCACCTGTGTGTCAGTGGAGGCTTGCATGTTGCTATGATGCTGAAAGGTTTCAGTGGAACTTCCAGACTAAGATGGACTGGGAAGAAAGGCCTAGCAGTCTACTTTTGAAAATCAGCCCATAAAAACCCTATGGATCCCAACAGTCTGATCTGCAGCCTATCACGGAGGTAGTACAGGACCGGGCAGCGTTTCATTCTGTTGTGCATGGGGTCACCATGAGTCGAGGGCTGACTCGACGTCAGCTAACAACAAGAACAACTGTTGGCAAGTGATAGGATTCCATGTAACTGGTTTGAGGCGCAGAAGTCACTGGTCTGCAGTTTATTCTGGCAGTAGGCTCTGCTTCGAGCATGACTGGATCAGGGGACTCAGGTACGTCATTAGTAACCTTCATCGTACAACTTGGTTCTTAAGCAGCTGTCTGTGTGGTAGCCCTTAGTAGCTCTAGCTCAGTTTCCTCTAATTTGGCATCATCTTCAGGGGAAAACCATTTTCCCTCGAGGAATTCCAACAATTTCTGAGATTGAGTCTTGATAAACCAACTTGCCCACCCCTGAATCACTACTCTTAGGGGTTCAGATGCCAGGACTGGCCAGGCCTGTGTTACATACCCACCCACAGCCCAATGATACTGCATGGACTTGCACCCCTCATCCCAGGCCTAGTGGGGATGAGCCACCAACAGGGCCAGACTGGTGATGTGGTTGCATTCCTCTTAATCATGAGGGTGTTTGGTGCTGCAGGAACATCAGCTGGTTAGTGCATCATAAAGCAACATGGTCTGGAGCTAGAGCAGTGGGTTGGGGTCAAGAAACCCGGGAGCTTGGGTCTGTGATACCACTAGCTAGCCTTAGTCAAGGCACTTCTCTGTTGGCCTTTAGATCATCTGCAAATTAGGGGACAGGATTAGTCAAGTGGTCACCCAAGTGTGTTTCAGAGAAAGTCCTATGGAAGCATAATAGGTTCTGTGCAAAAGGGGCTCTGTGGTCAAATAAGTTTGACACGGGTCTATATCACAGGGTTTCTCCGAGCCTTGACTATGCTGATGTGCGTTGTAAATCTCCCCAGAGTGGATACTGAGGGCAGCATTACCTACATTTGGCTTGTGTGGCCACCTGGGGGCTCCAGTTCCATTCCCTGGGACACACAGGGACTAGACCAGGGGTAGCAACCGAATTCCTGCAGCCCTAGAGGTCTGAGAAAAAGGTAAGATGGGTAGTTGCCAAGCTCTTTTCAGTACTTCAAAAAGCCTATGGGAAAGAAAAATCACATAAACATATCAATTGACACCAAAAAAAATTTGACAAAATTCAACACGTGATAAAAACTGTCAGCAAGCTAGGAATAGGAGGAATAGAGGAGAACTTCTTTAACTTGATAAAGAGCACCTACAAAAAACCTACAGTTAACATCATACTTAATGGTGAAAGATAGGATGCTTTCCCCTAAGATTGGGAACAAGGGAAGGACATCCACTCTCATCACTCCTGTTCAACATCATACTGGAAGTCCTAGTCAACACAGTAAGGTAAGAAAAGGAAACAAAAGGCATACAGATTGGAAAAACTAAAACTGTCCGTTTCTGCAGATGACATGATAGTCTGTATAAAATATTCCAGGGAATCTACAAAAACTCCTGGAACTAAATGGGTTCAATAGATTGTAAGATACAAAATCAACACACAAAAATTAATTGTATTTCTATATACCAGCAACAACACATGGAAACCAAAATTAACACAATACCATTTACAATCACTCAGAAAAAAGGGGACGGGGCCAAGATGGCAGAGTAGTCAGACACTTCTCGTGGACCGTCTTACAACAAAGACCCGAAAAAACAAGTGAATCGATTATATATGACAATCTAGGAGCCCTGAACATCAAAGCCAAAGTTGAGGAACTGGACTGAGTGGCAGGGGGAGGGAGAGACAGTTTGGAAGCAGCGAGGAGTTGCCAAACCTGACCCCGCGAGAGCCTGAGCCCTTCAGGCCTGATCAGCTTGGGGGTGAGTGGTGAGGCAGGCAAACAGTGGTGCTCGGGAGGCATATTCTGCACCGGGAGAGACCCAACGGCAGAAAGTCTACTCGGCCACCCAGAACCAGTGAGAAGCAGCCCTCGATTAGCAAAAGATAAGTACTTGCGTCTGGCCTACTGCGCAGATCAAAAACACTCCCCTTAGGGAAAAACCTCTCTCCCATTTACCTCCCCGTTCCCTGCTCTGCACTGGGTCCTGGACTGGCTTCAGCAATTGCCGAGTCCTCTGGGCCTGATGTAGGATCTGTCACACACCCTGAGCCATTCTCCTGGCCTTGGAGAGTGAACAAATTAACAAACGGGGGAAAAATAAACTGCTGGCTCCCCTAAGCCAGGAACTCAGGGTAGGCACAGCGCCTTTGCCTAGGCACAGGCATAAAGGATCCATGGACTTTGAGTGCCTTTCCCCCTGCATAGACTTGTGTGGAC